GTGTATGTGTGTGTGTGTGTATGTGTGTGTATGTGTGTGTGTGTATGTGTGTGTGTGTATGTGTGTGTGTATGTGTGTATGTGTGTGTGTGTGTGTGTACGTGTGTGTGTTGGCAGGCAAGTACCAAAGAGCATGTGTGGAGGTCAGAGGGCAACTTGTGGGAGTTGATTCTCTCCTGCCACTGTGTATATTCCCCAGATCAATGCAGATCATCAGGCTTGGTGCCAAGTGCCTTTACCCACTGAACTATCTTACCACCTCACCCAGTGTTCTTTTCAGTGTGAATGTCCTAAAGGAGACAGAAATCTTGGTTCTGGCATGCACATGCTTGTGTCTTAAAGATGAAAGGCTCCTAAGTATGGTTTTAGGGCCTCTCACCCAAGCCCTTCTATTACACCTGCTGCTAGTAGATCTAGCAAGCACCCCAAGGCTAAAGAAGAGGGCTATTTCTAAAAGTATGTGACAACCTAAAGAGTATCAAACTGAAATCATATATATCCTTACAAATGTCAAGAATTAAATTTGACTGATGACTACAGGGAACTATCTGCAAAAGAGGAGAAATGAATTTTTTCCTCTGCAATCTGTTCATGCTTCTCCCATCTGAGTGAGCAAGCTTATTTTCATATGTGGAACTGTTACCTGTTCTACCACGCTGGACCTTACTAAGGTCTAAATTCCAAGGAGTGCACCTGATACTCTTGGTGTTCATTAATATCATCTACTATATATTCAGGCTTTTCAGAAGATAGCAACATGATATCACTTCTTAAGAAAGTCTTAAAGTTTAAGTGAAGATATGGCTATTCCACAGTGAGGAAGAAGGACTGGATTTAAGAACCAGGCCTCCGAGATTGAGGGTAAGCACACTGCTTAGCAAGCCAAAGATGGCCCACTGCTTTTTTTTTTGTAATTAAAGTTTTAATGTAACACAGCCATGCTCACTCACTGGTATATTGTTCACAAATGCTTTTGTGCTGCAACAGTAGAAATGAATAGTTAAAAGAGACAGTGTGACCTGCAAAGTCTAAAACATTAACTCTCTGGCCCATTATAGAGTTTGCTAACTCAGATTGTAAATGAAGACAGAGCTCATTTTAACAATAATCTGGTGGCAAACTTTACCTAGATTTATACATTCTAAGGTAGGGGGCAGTACAAGGAATGGATTGTTTCAAGAAATTATACCACAGAGCCAGAAAGATAGGTCAGTGGGTAAAGGCACTTGCTGTATAAGCTTGACAACCTGTTTTTGATCTCTGGGACCTCTGTAAGGATGGAAGGAGAGAACTAACTCCACAAAGCTGTCATCTGACCTCTATATTTGCTGTGGCACGCATATAGCCATATACACACACACCCCACATACCTAATAATAAATAATAAATAAAAAAATAATAAATTGTACCATAACTTTCTAATATAGGGTTATTGCTATTTACATAACTAGCTCGCAGATATCACACTATAAAGACTAGCAAATCAGAAGAATGCCTGATCTGGGAACTTCTAAGTGTAAGGGTGAGCTTCACAACGTAACTTGCACCCCAAGATTACTTTTCAGCTAGAGTTCAGTGCTACATACTTCAACATTTGAGGTCTGAAAATTGCCCCATCTAAGATCCTGGCTTTGAACTTGATCTCCTCCAATCTCCTGAGAGAAATGCTTTCTCAACAAACACTGAGTGGGGATTTACTCTGTATCAGACCCTGAGCTTGCCACTGGAGCAAAATAATGCTTGTATTTGGGCCTGGTAACAGAATAAAGGTATTTCAGAAAAAGATTACCCTAAAAACCACAACGGACACTATTTTTTTTTTTTTCATCTTTTC